AAAATAGTTGTATCTATTGTCACTTATAACTGGTTGATATGGTGATATCCACTGTTATATATATATATATATATATATATTAGTGATAAATATACACATACATAAGTATATATACATAGGTGCATACACATACATGTATATTTTTTTGAATAAAAAATTCCAAGAGGATAGAATCCAGGTAGAACTCAATGTCCAGGACAGAGTAAGGATATAATAAAAAGGCTTAAACACTAATATTCCATGGTCTCCATTGGAATTGTAAATATGATCCAATTCATCAGACCTACAAATTCAAAAGAAAACAGAAAAAACAACACCGGAAAATTTTTCTGTTTTCTTTTTGAATTTGTAGGTCTGATGAATTGGATCGTATTTACGATTCCAATGGAATAAAATATTAGTGTTTAAGCCTTTTTATTATATATATATATATATATATATATATATATATATATATAGATGACAGGAAAAATGATTGAGTATGATTGTAGTTTTAAGTTTTGTTACTTTTAAGTAATTTTGTTCACAAAGAGTTTCTCTGTATGAATCATGATTCTGTATTAAGAAAGAAATCTCTTCGTATAAAAGGCAAAGTTAATATTATTGTTTTTGTTTTGTTTTTTGTTTTTTGTTTTTTTGTTAGCAGTAATAACAAAAACTGATCTATAGAATGAAAGGTCAATTTGCAGTGTTTTAACATTGGACCTGGTGATAGTCAAACAAATGACATATCCATTCTGCCACCATTCTCTGCTGTTTAAATATCTATTAAAATTAACCTGAAAGCACTTAAAGGGGTGTTTTTTATGTTTGTAATTGAATTGGTCACTTATATTTCTTTTCTTTTTCTTTCTTTTTCCCCACCCCAAATTACTTCAAGTGACATAATCTTTTATTTTTTTTTTTTTTTTTTTTTTTAGTTTTTTAATGAAAATACTATGTCTTGTATTGTGCAGTAATAGACATTGTACTAAAATTTCATATCAGCCTATGAAAGAAAGGCTGGGTACACCAATCGCACCCATTGAGCGTGGTGTGAGAATAAAAATGTTGGACAGATGGATATATTAAACAACAGCCTCAAAGCAGTCTTTGTCTGTCTCTAAGATAGAAAATTAAGTCAGCTCTATCCGACCCCCAGGCAACGTGGCTTGCACCAGAGACTAACCAAGATTATTGGGTGGGGGGGTGGTTTTGGATTTGGTTGGGGAAATATTAGAGTAAATAAAATGCTAAGTAATGAAGATTCAAGTCTTGTTTTGGCATCACACACTTTATTACATTTGCAGAAACTGTTAATGTCATTCTTAGAAAATATTGTAATACATTTTTATTAAAATACTAGACAACCTATAAAGCCATTGGGTTCCTTTTAAAAGTAATTCATCTAGAAAAAGATTATTCATTTTATTATGTATTACACATATTTTAATTTGTATTTGCAATACAAGTTATTGTAATATTATACAATATTACTTGGATCAAATGCAATAATCAATTAATCACATTAATCAAGAAAGGTTTTCAGAATTTTTGAAAAAATTGTTCCTTTACATTATTTTCTTCATAAAATTCAGCTGTAAATTCAATGACAGATGCTGTCTAAATTATTAAACCCCAAACATTAAGAATAGACACTAAATGAACAATACCAGAATGATGTAGGAGGCTTATCATTGTTTTGGGATTATGATTTGGTTTTAATTTGAAAGATCCTTTTAATGTAAGCATTGACCTGCAATTGATCTTTTTTAGAATGGAATTGCAAACTGATATATATTTATTTACCATCAAGTCATGTTTCACAATTTTCAAGCCATTCAGATTGTTTTAAAATGACACACCCACATAGTGACTTCACCTATCAAGTACTTGCCAAACTTCCAAGATATGTTTATAAAAAAAAAAAGTTCTAATGTATTGTAGTGAATTTTATACATATATATATTGTTATGCATATTTAAATTTATTTAAAAATGTTGTTATGTTTGGTAAATGTTTATTTTTCAAACTCTTAATGGTTGGAATATACGATGCAAATGTTTGTTTCAATATGTGGATTGATATAAGAATGTGTATTGCAAACAAATACTGAATTTCCTATTAAAAATAATATAAAAACAGAAAAATGGGGCTAGCTCAAGAACTCGATGTTTAATTTTAATGAAATTTGGCACTACACTCAAAAAGGGTTCAAGGTACAATATTCTCTTAAATTGATTGGGGTATTATGTATCATTTAAACTTATCTCGACAACAAACATACATACAAGATTAGTTTTATTATATACATATGATTGTCTAAATTATCTATACATAATTCTATCCAGATTTTATGTTTTTTCTGAGTTGGATATAAATGTTACATAATCAAACCAAACATCAGAATATTTGGAGAGATGTGTTCTTGATTATGCCTCAAATACTGTGTCCTTGAGACAGACTAAATAAAATTTAGTAAATAACAAGTCGTCAACTACTAAGTTGATTGGTACACTCTTTGAAGTCATAGTTATCCATTTTTCCCATCCAGTTTTTTTTTTTTTTTTTTTTGTAGTTTGTGGATACTTTTTTTTTTTTATTTACAATGTGCAGAACTAATCTTCCTTGGAGACAATATTTATCCTATTAATCTGGAGTAAAACCCCGTATTTTATCTGTAATCTTGTTAATCCAAAATTAATCTCTTACTAACTGGATCAGCCATCATTTTTAGGACATCTTTCTAATATGCAAGATAAAGAGCGGGGAAGGTTCTGTTTGAAACAGATGACAACATCTGAACTGCAGGTGCAAATATTTATAAATATCCTAATGCAGAAAGAATGATTTTTTTTTTTTTTTTCTTGTAACATTGTCAGGTGTTTAAAGCTTTGATCTGTTCTCAATTTACCAGATTTGTGTCTCATTCTGTTCAAAACAGGGAGAGGAATTTTTTTGTTTCTTTCTTGACATCTTTTAAAAAGTGTCACATTTTGGAAAGATGATTTTTTTTTTTTTCTTTTATGCCTGTAATATTGCAAATGATTTGAATGACGTTGATGTTTGGGATTTCATTTGGATCAATTGGAAAGAAATTTATATGGAAGTTGGCTTCAGGTTGGGATACAAAAAGAGATGTTACAATAATTAGGTAGGTGGGTTTTTATGTGAGCCCCTACAAGAATCGGTGGACAATTCTAAATCTCACATTTAAAAAAAATCTGTATAAGTAAACGAGAATTGGCTAATTATATTTGTTTTAAAAAAAAAAATTATATATCATAATATATTTTATAAAAAAAAATAATAATTTATTTGATGTCATATAAGCCCCCCCTTCCCATTTTATATTCATATTATTTAATTAACTACAAGAACTAGTCATTTACAGCATCTGACTAAATATTAACCTACATGGTATCTTAATGTCACTCTTCCTATTTACATTTAATATTACAGTAATTATGGATTTAGGCTACATACAATTACTAGTTGTCTATGGTGTCTTGGTAAACATCAATAAACTTTGTATGTAAACCTTCGTTATTCAAATTTAACATTATGGATTTAGGCTTGGTACAATAACTGGTAATATATGGCATTAGGGTGGACTATAACTTGACTTTAAATATAAAACTCTGGGGATCCTTCTTGAACCTCTTTAATTTTTTGTGCATGGGACTGGAGAAGAAAATTACATTTATCAATTTCAACATTAATGTAATGAGACCTAGCTGCCAACCTAGTACTATGATTAAATTTGTGAAGCTGAGGTATCAAAGAAGAAAGCTAATAAGAACAATTACCATGAAAATATTTAGAGAAAAGGCACAGGGAAGTTACTGTTGTGGTGATAAGAAAGTGACTGAAGTTGTGATGCCAAGTCAAGACTGATAATATTGCAGATTTTTCTTTGGATTTTGTCAGAAGTTCCAGATCACACATGGTAGCAATATTCAATGCATGTAGACTTAGAGATGCACAAGATAGATTATGGTGAGAATAACTATCTAGCACGACATAGTGAACGGATTTTGCTAGCATTTGAGTTGATATAATTGTTTCACTTGATTTCCATGTAAAACCTAAGACCAAGAAGGTGCACTGAGTTGCTGTTCTGGAGGTTAGCATCAGCCATGCTTGCTGGAAGAGGCTAAAATGGTCCTTTACGATGATAGAGAACAATTTCATTTTGGAAGCACATTAAAATTAACAAGCCACTTCTTGTTCCAGTTAACAACGGATTGTAGAAGATCATTTCCAAGATCAACTGCAAATTTGATTTTATCAAATTTATAAGACTTACTATTAAGAGTAAATAGTTGTATCACAAACATTCATATCAAATTGGGAACTGATGATGTCAGGTGGGTCATTGATGATAATAAGGGACAAAGTAAGTCCAACAATAGAATTATGTTATTGAAAAATGGTTGTTATCACTCGTCGTCTTATGGATGATTAAACTGGATTTAGTGTGTTTTTTAAATTTATAAATAGCATCAACAAATGAAAATTGACTAAATCTAGTCTGACACAAAGCTTTATTTTTGGAATCTTTGCATAAAAATTGAACTCTTGATAAAACCAATGTAGCATGCTAATTTGTCACCTGTTGATGATTGGAGAGTTAGACTTTATTGCTTAAAAGCTGAAAGATTAATCACATGTTAAAGATTAAAATGCAAAGAATGATTGTGTGTATTAACAGTAGTGTTGTTTGCATTTATTTCTGTTGCTATTAGATTAAGTGGCATTAATGTGTCTGCTATGTTATGAAAAGCTTCTGCTACTTAAAGAATTATCAGGAGGCATGGATGACGTCAAAGGGTTTATACTTTCATCTTTACTGGTGTAAAGTGTCAAGAGGTAAAGCATTCTAGAACAGTATTTCTATGGTAAACAGCTGCTCTCTCTCTCTTTCTCTCTCTCTCTCTCTCTTTCTCTCTCTCGTATATATAATTTTTTAATTTGGAAATCTGTTTCTTAATTCAAATTTTTTTTTTTAATTTTTCCAGCATTTCTGTTTTGAAAGCCTTGGTCGATTGGAGAAAACACTAGAAGCATTGGAAGAGTGTTGTGATCCACTGTGCGCCATGCCACAGGCCCACGACACAGATTACCACCTTGATGTGACAGAACTTGATGAAAAACATGTTACACTTGATGTTCAGGTAAGTGTGCAGAGTTCCTGCTTTTGAATTCCTCATTTTCTAGAACAAAGACCAACATAGATGACAATAGACCATACTACAGTAGTAAAGATGCAAATTTCACTTTTCTAAACAGCTTGAATATCTTTAAGTTGTAACAAAGAAATGAAATGAAGTGGAATCCCTGTTCCTTTGTCTTGGTTTTTTTTTTTTTTCTTTTGTTTTTTGTTTATTTATGTCATCAGCTTTGTGATAGATTTTTATCTAATGTTGTTCTATGCTTTAAAAAATTAATTGAGGAATGTAATAAGTGCCTTTCAGGTAATCTTGATAATTTAACAAAATATTCCCCATAATCTAATGTTTTATTGAATTTTAGAGAATTTACTATAGTTATTGCTCTTATTTTCTGATAATGTCACATACGTGCGACTGTATCTATAAAATTTAGCATGTTTATACATATACAAAACAATTTAAAACTCTTTTTAAAATATTCAGGATCGTCAGATTGTAGTAAGCTTTACAATATATGATTAGTAAATAGTTTTACTTAATAACAATATTTCATAAGAGTTCACAAGTTTCATTGAAACTGAATTTTAAAAGATTTAAAAATATTATAAATGATTCTATTTAAAATTGTAAAAAAAAAAAAGAAAACAAATCTTGTAAAAAATTCATTTTTCATTGGAATTTTTTTTTCTTAAGATAATATATTATTGAGAAAAGCAATAAGTTTCTCTGATTAAAAAATGTCTTATTTTTATTGCATTTTTATTTTACAATTCAGAGCAGATTTCCAGTAAGACAGTGATTTTGGAAAAAAAAAAAAAAAAAAAAATGAAAAAAACAAACTTTCAGAAATAATTTCATTCATTTGTGAATAAGTCCTGAAAATTTAATTAAAATCTAATTCTTTGATTTTGGCAAGTATTTTCAAATCAATGTCTTTCACTACAAAAAAAGATGCTAAAATTTGCTATATTAATTTATAAAAATAAATCTGCTAACACAGGAAAAAGTATTTTTAATCAAAATTTCAAATGTTCTAAAAATGATTAAAAAATTTAATTAAATATTAAAAAATACTTTGATCTTTCCTCTTAAAGATTTTGATAATAAAACTGCGTTTTTATTAAATTTGGAGCATTTTTTTTTTTCATCACAGTATGCTAATTTTTTAGCAATTTTGTGGCGATACCTACTTTTATTTTAAATTAGGTACCTTTTCTTTTTACTCAGTGCTGCTCATAATGGCAAGATTTATCAATCCAAGGGTGATAACTCAGTCATTCCTACAACTTAACTAATTGCATTCTGCTCTTCATAACCTTTATAGAAAGATAAATTTTTCTCAAGTGACTAATTCATTTTTAATCAAAAAGATTATTACTTTACACTAATGACGGGCACATTTATTCTGTTCAGGAATTTGTCTCCATTCATTGATCATTTGTCAAATCTGTTAAAATAGAAAATCTCATTTGTAAGACAAGGGAATTGTTTACTTGAAAATGTATGTTATCAAAACATTTTGTGTTGTTTCTTCAATGCCTTTGTCGGTGTTTACTACCACCTCTAATAACCCCATGTGTACACAAACATCTATATACGCACAAAAGCTGAGTATCATCTACCATGTATTCAATTGTGAAAGCAAAATAATATTTATCATATTTTTATTACTTAAAAGCTCCCAAGAAAATTACATTTTGGCATTCAGTGACGCAAAAGGAGTTGATATGCTGCTAAACAAAGAAATCAACAGTAATTTTTATAAAAATCACATGTTTATTTTATTTAAATGTTTCAGTTAAATTCACTTTGATTAATTTTATGTGAAAATATTCTTCTTAATTGTTTTTCATGTTCAGAATAACTTTTTATCTGACTTCCAGAATTGTATTCTGTGCATTCAGTTCTGTATAAAGAATATCAGTTCATTTTAACTATTCAGTCAACATGATTTTTAAAGCATTTATCAAAAAATATTTTCATTTACAAAATTACCTATGACACGTGACTAAATTGGGAAGCTTTTGCAAGATTTTAGTAAAGGTTATTTAGTTTTCAGTCTCTACCTGTAATTGACTTGACAAAAGTAGATTTGCTGATTAATTGCTTTTCATACTCATTCATCCTTATTTTGTGATATCACAGAAAATGTCATCTCTGGCTTAAGGATCATCATTTAGTTTGAATTGTAGTGATACTAAAAGACAATTATCTTCCTTTGTTTGAGATAGTCATATGTGGATCATGTGATGGCTGCTTAGTGACATCACACCATATATAGTGATGAAAGGGCCATTCCTCCTTTTCAGTTTACAGTAGTCAAGCAGCCATTTGTTTCCTTCAGCACAGCTTATTTTTTCTATATATGAGGAGGATATGTTCTGAAGGGGAAATGGCGCTGTGTGCTTATAAGCTGTAGCTTATGCTGGAGGAGGCCCAAGACAAACTAACAACTGCTTCATTTGACTGCAAACCAAAAGGCCTGCCTCTTTAGACACTGTATAAAGTGACCCACGGGACTTTATCTTGACCATAGGGTGATAATTGCCTTTTGTATCCCTATCTAAAGAATGAATTTAAATGACATTAAAGTTTTTCCTTAACTTTTATTTTTGTTTTTTGCAGTCTTTATCGATAATAATTAAATTATCAATTATTAATGGATTAAGCTGTGCAAACCTAATTGTAAATTTGTTTGAAGTTTTTGAATTAATTAAAAAAGGTACAGGAATTTTTTTATTGCTTTACTTTTTCCTTAGTTAATCATTTGCATCTTCTTGCCGACTCATCTGTCGGTTGGTTCTGAGTTTGAACAAAGCAGAAAATAAATTGATGCTTTTAACTAAATTGTATAAACTTACTATTTAGAGAACTTATAATTGCTATTAAATGCTAATTATTATGAAAATACCATCACTGATATTGCAGACAGTTCAAGGGTTCTTCTCTGCTAATATTAATACTATTAACGGAGGGAAAAATAACAGTAATTAGTTAATAGAGACAGGGTACTGCATTAAAAATTACTTGGAGACCAGTGACTTAAATGGACTGAAAATTGCTTTCCCCTGCCTCTCACGGTAGAGGGTTACAGATTAAGAGTCACAGTTTATGTAGATACATGGGGAAGATAACCTTAGACTGGAACAGGTTAACCTTAGACTGGAACAGGTTAACCTTAGACTAGAACAGGTTAAGATTGTAGTGATCTGGAAAATGTCTTCTTGGGAGATGGTTCCACAAAGCAACAGTTCATGGGAAGAAATTGCTGGAGTGATACTTATATTTATTTCCCGAGTGGAATATTAAAAGAATGAGGGTGGTTTGCTACAATGGGCGTGGCAGGACATGAGTACGAGTTCCACTTGAGGTCAAGGGTGAGTTTAAGCCCCAATTGTTGCTCAAGGCACAGGGAAAAATTATTTGTGACTGGTGGTAGTTTGGAGTCCAATTGGCTTTATTCTTATAGTTTAGAATTTTTCTGCTACATTTTGCCATTTTTGTTATGCCAACAGGCTAACCTACAAAAATCAGAAATCATTATAATGTAGACAATACCCATAAATATATAATGTTTTTTTAATTTATTTTGTTACTTTGTAATTCTGTTAAACAGTAATTTGTTTGTCATTGCAGGTCACTCGTGGAGTGTCTGAATCCGACACTACCGACACTGAATCCCATGTGTATCCAACTATTGAAGTGATTCATCGTAAACGTACCCCAGACCTGCACGGAATCCTGAAGCAACGTTCACGAACAATCTCTGATTCGAGTGATGAGAATGGAACTGTACTGTCGGCATCTCCAGACAGTTCGTCCATTGAAAGTCACTTCCCCTCTGTCAAGAAATCTGTCTCTTTTAATGAACACATTGATCAAGCAACATTCAAGCCCAACTCTACCGTATCGAGCATGCACAATTCGATGAAGAGCAAGCGCAAACGCTCACGTCAACGAGAAGAGCGCAAGAAGAACGGTCGGCGTCGGCGCCGAAACAGTAGCCAAGAAAGCAGTGAGGGAGAAGATGGTCATTTGAAAGAGAAAGGTAACTCTTCAAGTTCAAAGGGTTCACACAAAGGTCAGCAGGGCAAGAATAGCCGAAAGAAAGGTGCAGCTGCTGCTGCTGCTTCAGCCACATCAGAAAAGAACTCTTCAAAACAAGACGGTGCTGGCAGCAGTAGTACTGTGGAGGAGACAGATGAAACTACCAACACTGAGGGTTCAGACCATGACAGTGACTCAGGATATGACAATAATGATAGCAGTCAAAGGAATTCTTCCATGCCTGAATCCTCCTCGCAATCCAAGAACAACAATGTTGACCATTACAATCTGCGTCCTCGTCGAAACCGTGGCTCTAAGTCTGAGCCGAAGAATTGTCATGGTACCAAGAACTGTTCACACTCCAATTCTATTGTTGTTGGTTGTGATAGGACAGATAACAAACTGACGTCTGAGGAACGGGCTAAGCTCAATCGATTAATGACTGCTGCTCTCAATCAGACGTTGAGTCAAATAAATCCAGTCACTACTGATGATTCTGAATGTTTGGAAGTGCCTGATTCACATGAAGTTGACGCTGTTGGACCCTCAAAAGCCCAAGTCATCGATACAGTGGAACATATGGCATCATTGTCTATAGGAGATGCCAGCCCGACAGGATGTAGCCAAGCTTTAACAGATAAAGACTCGATAGTGCCAAGTGAGCCAATTTGTATTGGCAACCAGGGGGGTGTCGATAACAATTCTCTCTCAATGTTGGACGAAGAGAAATCGAATGTTGATGAGGATGGAAGTTGTGGTGGAGATGGTAACAGAGCACGGGTTGAAACTCCTGCACTTCAGGAGGGAATATTGAGTAGAACGAAAAAAGAGAAGTCTTTGGATTGTGATAAAAAGTTGAAAAACATCAATGGAAAGAACGGGCAGAAGTCCGAACTGGACAATTTCAGGTCTGCAAAGATTGAGTCCGTGCTCAGCTGGACAGACTCTGAGTACAGCAAACAACTGAGCAATGAGCATCACACTCAGTGTGCGTTCCACTTTAACAACAATGTTATGTTTGAACTGGATTAAGTGAAAATGCAGGGCAAAAAAAAAAAAAAAAAAAATAAAGAAAGTCTCTTTATAGTTTTGTTTTATCTTAAATATGACTTCTGGCTCATAACAATTGTCGCATTTAATGTATTCAAATGCAACAACTATTATAAGACAGTTGTCGGTAATTTATTTTTTTTTTATTTCCGATTTGAATGACCAATTTAGTTATATCTGTTCTAGGAAATTTTTTTAAAATTAAAAACAAAAGAAAAATATTATCAAATTTTTGTAAGTCTTGTTTCCATTTTTTTTAATTTTATTTCTTTTAATGCTGGGAAAATAAAACAAGAATTTTTAAAAAGAAAAATTCAGAATTGTCTTTGATGTGAGTGTTGATCACTAAGAACTCAACAATGTCTATCCAGTGGAATAACTTTTATCTTTAGCTATAAATCAACCTGCCTTACCTGTTATAACCCTTTCCACATTCTATTTTATGAATAACTTGTACCACTTTTAAGGTTTCGTGATCATTCTAGACAGGTTAAACCCCACCCTATCTCATATTCTGGTAGGATTAGGTTCCAGCTATTGGTTTGAATATTTTTTTTTATTCATGAATACCTAACTTTGGTGGTTTCCTTACAAAGCAAATGAAATAAACTTTACCAAAAATGCTTACTTCTTTTATTTAGTCTGTCATAATTTGTGTCTGATATCACAGGAACTTAATATCTCCCTAGTCTCTCACATTGTCAGTCACTTTTAATTCTTCTCAATTTTTAGAAAATAAAAAGATTTATAGAAATTATTTACATTATTCGGACTATTGTCCTTATCTTTGTTGCCATATTTATCACAACATTTCGGCCATTGTACGCTCTGGCCTTCCTCAGGTGGTTGGAATTTCAAACTGAACCCTTTATTTTGCTCACTGGGGTAGACTGTTCTAGTTCCATGTGCCATGTTTGATGGATGTCAGATATCAGTAATCTCCTGCTAATTTCCCTCTGAAAGTTCTCCACTGCCTTAACCAGGTATTGAACGTACTCTTTGGGTCCTGTCACTGGATCTAACCAACACCTTTATCCACTGTGAGTGAAATAAAGGGTTCAGTTCAACATTCCAACCACCTGAAAAAGGCCGGAGCGTACAACGTCCAAAACGTTGTGATAACTATGGCGACAAAGATGAGGACAATAGTCCGAATAATGTAAATAATGTACATAATACCTCATCTCAGAAATATGGACAGATTTATGGAAATATTTACATTTAATAAGTGTCTTTGATATTTTACATAGTGTATAAAGTGGAATTGCCTGTGCCACTCATATGATAGAGTAACAGTTTTATGAAATTTCATGGGATTTTGCAAGATTTTTCATTATTGTTCTGGTTATTGAAATGCTATTATAAACAAAAATTACTGATTGTGTGTAAAGTTGGTTAATGACATTTTAAATAGTGTCAGTTGATGAGCAATAACTGAGCAGTACTAAATAAGATGCAATATTTGTAGACATGAACAGCAGATTGAGAAAAATCAATAAGGAGTTGATTTTTTTTTTTTTTTTTAATTCTCTGAAGGTTACCTGGATTGAGATGCACCTGATGAAGGCTGGAGAGTACATTGGCTGAAACGTTATGACAATAAAGATGAGGTCACTAGTCCAAATGTAAATAATATAAATTAGGATTCCAGTTTATAAAGATAAATGTTTTGAACATGTTATGATTAAATATTTTAATTGACCAAACACGTACAGCAGACATAACAATATGAAATGACAAGTGGTTCAGGCTTATGCTGAGCCTGGTCAGTACCCAGATGGGTGACTGCTTGGAAGTACCAGGTGCTTTAAGAGTGGATGTGCAGGTGGTGTAATGGATAACAGCTCATAATTGTTAATTGGAGATCTTAGTTTCAATTCTCGTTGTGTTCACTATATTCACTTATGCGCAAAATACCCTTGGTAAAGGTATTAATCCACCTCTTTTCCTCAAACTATGGGTTAATTAGTAAGACTTGAATCCATAGATCATTCCCACCATCATCACCAAAAAAAGAATCTTTACAATCTAAAAATATTTTCTAGATTTAAATAACCTGCAAAGGTTTGATAAGTTGTAAAAAAACGAATCTCTCAACAAGTTATTTTTTGAATTGTATTTCTTTATATGAAAGAGTGTACAGTATACTGAATAGTGTTTCATAATTTCTTCCTTGTTGGTAAATTGTCTTCTGCCAATCTAAAACCTACCTATTCAGAATGCTGTACAAGTTTTCAGTCAAGGGAATATTAAAAAGTTCAATAAACAAGAATCTTTGAAATCTGTTTCATTTAAATAATTTTTAGTTTCCTGTTTTATTGGCACGCATAAAAATTAAATATACTTGTGTGATTTCTTATTCATTTTTTTTTTTTTTTTTTTTTTCTTGAGTTGTTTTTATTTTCATTTATTACTATCAATTAAGCACTCCAATTTACTTGTTTCAAATTTATTTTTTAGTTTTTAATTCTTAAGCATCTTTGCTTTGGCTTGTTTAGTGGGGGATCAATTTACAATGAATTTAAATGGCAAACTGGACCCTCATTAATTTTTATACATTTAAAAACATTTTTTTCTTTTCATATTCATGATATGGGGGTCTTTAATCTATAGTAATATGAAAAAAAATAATTATAAAAATATTTTCTGTTCACGGTGCTTATTGTATACGGACTTCCAAAAGCCATGAGAATTGGCATAAAACATACTTGCGAAATAGCAACCAGGGAAAATTTGCATGACATCATCTTCCATAATTTGACCAATGAAATTTCTTAATATATTGTCAACGTACAGAAACATGATTCCATTTGCTAAATAAATATAAAATTTACAAGTTTATCAATGGTAAATACAACTTTTGGAACACCCTGTATAACAGCACTAAATCTTACTAAAAGCATTTGACTTCTTGAACTGTGGCACCACATATGCCTTCAAATGATCTATTTAGGTTTTGTCATTCTAACGACTTTCCATGTGCCCACTAATTTATCACTTATACATTCTACTCTGAAAACATTATTCCACTTCTTGCTTTGTTGATGTCTCAACTTGTGAAGTTTTGTTCTGTTTAGAATCATATCATCTTTTCTCTCTCTCTCTCTCTCTCTCTCTCTCTCTCTCTCTCTCTCTCTCTCTCTCTCTCTCTCTCTCTCTGGACTATCAAGTATAATGGGGTGTTTGTCAGTAAAAAAAGAATGATTTAAAAATTGATTTTTCAGGTATTCAACTTTGGGTGCCTGACTGCTTAGAATTATTGATTTGGAATTACCATATTGGATGGAGTGGTTTACATTGGAGAAGATTCGGTGTTGTCAAATTAATTTTGCTAATAATGAGAATAGGAAGTTAATTAAAAAATTTAATAGCACTGACTTTTTTTTTTTTTTTTAGTGTTGTTTATTTAATAGTGTAGACATTGCTATAGCTAACTTGTTAAGGTTGCCTGGTTCATCTGGAAAGTTTTAATGTACAATATATAAATCTGATTTAAAAAAAGAAAAAAGTTTTTAAAATTTTTGGTCAACATATTAATTTTAATGTCCCCAAAACGAAGCTGCTTTTTTATTTTTTTCATCGTTCTGGAGAACCCTCTTTACCTTCAATCAACATGGCTGATGCTAACCTCAAGGTGAGTCTTGGGCTAACGTTTTTGGTTGATATAAAGTGGAAAGATTATATTGTATCAATTGCTAGATCTGTTGCTAGGAAAGTTGGTCCCTCTGTTCCGTGCTAGACAATTTTCTCACCAGAATCTATATTACATATTTATATGTCTACCATTTGTCCTTGCTTTAAATATTGCTGCCGCATCTGGTCTGGTACTCCTGCTATATATTTAAATTTTTGATATAATCCAAAGAATCTGCAATGTTATTGGTCCTGACCTGGCATCTTTGCTTCACTTACTTTCCCACTGCCATAACACAGTTTCCCTGTACCTTTTCTATACATAATTTCATGGTAATTGTTTGGATGAACTTACCTCTATGATACCAAGACTTTAGGAATGTAATGCAGTACTAGTTAGATGTAACCGCAAGTTCTATGCTAACAGTTTCTTCAATAGCACTTTTCGCTTGTGGAACTTTCTACCAGCTTTTTGTTTCCCAGTCTACTTTATATTTAAATTTTTGAATGTCAATCGTTAATGTTTTCTTAAGTCTTATTCTTTTATTGTTCTCCCTCCTTAATTATGTGTGCGTGTTTTTCTTCTCGTATTCTCTAACACCCAGTCTCCCCCCCCGTGTCTTAGTGGCTTTATTGCCTGCTTGAAATGATTACAAAGACAACTTTTGTTTATGTAGATGAGAATGCCTGTTTGGATCCAATTAATAAAAATATTGTCTAAACATTTGTAGGCTAACACATCCTTTTCATACTTTGGGCTATTGTTGGAGTAAAACTGAATATACAACGACCACTTTATCTCAAAGGTTAACTTGTGATTCGTTTATTCTTGATCATATTAATGAACATAGACTACTAGGGGAAAAGTGTCTTCACAGCTATGTGGGTGATTAATTATTTCCCACCCTACAATCCCTTTCCCACAGACAAAATGTTGCCAGACACTCACTGCCCAATCATTATTTCCATGGCAACTGTTTTGACTAGCTACATTCCTCGGATCCATCAGTCTTGACCTTTGCCATGCCATGTACCACGAGGATTTATCATCTTCATTCCCTTCATATTTCATTAGTAGTAAGGAAGTTCCACTTGGACAGCTCTCCAAGAACTGCTGCTTTATGGAACAGACTCTACGATATGCTTTCCCAATCACGATAATCTTGACTCCCTCAAATCTAGAGTTAACTATTATGTTTTCTACATAACCTTATAATCTGCACTTCACTTACACCCAATAAATCCTCTATTGTGAGTGTTGGATCTTGTATAGGGTGACCTTTAGTATATAAAAACTATACGGGATGTACTTGCAAACCTGCAAAGGGTTGATAAGCCGTAAAAAACGAATCAATGTACTTGCAGACAATACATGCACATACAATACAACGTTGTCTAAACAAAGAGATAAAAACGTCATTTTGTTGAAGCCCTTATAAGATTAAAAACTAAAAATAGTAAGTTTGGGAACATGGATTTTTTAAAATGTACTTAATAACTGATAGATACGTTTGGTCCAGTGAAGAATTCAGGCTGTCTGTTGCTTTATGTGTGTCGTCTTCATAAACGGTAAATGCCGAATTTAATCTGGGCTCCAAAATTGTAAAATAATATTCTCGGATATCCCCTAATCTTAATAGCTGACGGAGGTAAAATTGAAACCATTACGTCATAATTGTTTAGGTAATAGTCATATTCTTTATGAATGTACATAAGCAAATATTAACCCGGGGGGAGGGGGGATAATAAAAAAGGTCCTTGTTTACTGTTTTAGATTAAATTTATATAAATAAAAAGCCCGTTTTAAAAATATAATGAAAAAATATATCATTAGACATAGATGAACCACCTTGTAAATTTTTGAGGCAAAATTACAAAGAACTAGAAAATTTTGTTGTAAGTTGGCCTGAAGAGAAGCAGGCATTTAGAGAAATGTTGATTATTGCAAGAAAGAAATTTCTTAGTGTTAGAGATTTTAGTAAATATTCTGCAGCTACTTGAACGTTAGTTAAATTTATCAAATTTAAATTTATCAAATTTAAATTTATCAAATGCCCTTTCAACAATTCTTTTATCTTTTGTTATTGTTCTCAAGTTCACCCTCACCTGGGGTAGTAGCACCTGTTAGGATCCCAGCTATGAGCAAATAGTGAAATCCCAAACAAATCACTATGAGAGTATAAGAATAAATGTTTATAGTCAAAATAACAGCAATACATTTTTATAATAAAAAAGAGCAACAATACATTTTTAAAACAACATGACCAACAGTACATTTTATCTGGATTTGAAGTCACAATTACGTTCAAAAATATCTTTAGTTGAAGCCATGATTAGGTTTATTTTCTTTTACGTCATATCAACCTCAATGGGTTATCTAATGCTGACAATATGCTAAGGATAGCTTCATATGAATAGAATATGGGATCTTTATAAGAAATCAAGTTGTAGATCAGGTTTCATTGACGTAGTTTTGTAAAGAGGTTTTTTGTCGAGACTCAAATGTATTGCAGGTAATATTTTTTTCAAAAAATTTATTGAGGGTAATAACTTTTCCCCAAACACACATTGATGCTAATTATATATATATATATATATATATATATATATATATATATATATATATATATTAGTGAACTTTCTTATCGTGAACGATAAATGGGGGTCGGCACTGGATGTGCCTTTCGTTTTATGCTTATGCATGCTAGCAAGTGTTATTGTGGAGAAAATCAGGTAAGGGAAAGACATATTTCGTTTGTGCTTTCTTAAGTGTGATACTAGCGCAGCCTGGCTGCATGTGACAAAGCCACACTAACAGATGAAATTTGTTAAAGCAGGATTTTGATGGCGTCTCTGCTTCAGAGCTTGACGAAGCCGATCACGATCCTTCAGTCTATTGTCTTCGAAACTTTTTAAATTAATGAAACATGTCTTACGACACTCCTTTCGGTTTGATACTTGGGCTTCCCAGGTTTTCAGATCAAAGTTGAAACGTTTCATGTCTTTCAAGACAGACAGACACACATACATTATATATATATATATATATATATATAATATTTTTAAAATATGATTCTTTCGCTACACAATAGTTCTCATGTTTCAAAAACGAGAGCCGAAACCATCCAACTCAATTCAACATAATTTTAATAATTATTTGGATGGTTTCGGCTCTTGTTTTTGAAACATGAGAACTCTTATGTAGCGAAGGAATCATTTTTAAACAAATAAATATTATAATAAATCTCTACTTCTGTGTGGAGCACTGTGTTCTTAAAAATAAAAACAAAAATACTAAGGAATTCCGGATTATGCACCCAACGTGTTCTTTTCTTTTTTCTGCATACCAGCGCACTTTATTTTATATATATATATATATAATCCAAACGATGTAAATAGTTACAATACCTCATCTCAGAAATATAAACAAATCATGAAGAAGGCCAGAGCGTACAAGAGCCGAAACGTCGAGAATATGACAATAAAGATGAGGACAATAGTCCGAACGATGTAAATAGTGTAAATAGTTACAATATCCCATCTCAGAAATATAGACAGATCATGAAGAAGGCCAGAGCGTACAAGGGCCGAAACGTCGAGAATATGACAATAAAGATGAGGATAATAGTCCGAACGATGTAAATAATGAAAATAGTTACAATACCTCATCTCAGAAATATAGACAGATCATGAAGAAGGCCAGAGCGTACAAAGGCCGAAACGTCGAGAATATGACAATAAAGATGAGGATAATTGTCCGAACGATGTAAATAGTTACAATACCTCATCTCAGAAATATAGACAGATCATGAAGAAGGCCAGAGCGTATAAGGGCCGAAACGTCGAGAATATGACAACAAAGATGAGGACAATAGTCCGAACGATGTAAATAGTGTAAATAATTACAATAGCTCTTCTCAGAAATATAGACAGATTATGAAGAAGGCCAGAGCGTACAAAGGCCGAAACGTCGAGAATATGACAATAAAGATGAGGACAATTGTCCGAACGATGTAAATAGTTACAATAGCTCATCTCAGAATTATAGACAGATCATGAAGAAGGCCAGAGCGTATAAGGGCCGAAACGTCGAGAATATGACAACAAAGATGAGGACAATAGTCCGAACGATGTAAATAGTGTAAATAATTACAATAGCTCATCTCAGAAATATAGACAGATCATGAAGAAGGCCAGAGCGTACAAGGGCCGAAACGTCGAGAATATGACAATAAAGATGAGGACAATAATCCGAACAATATAAATAGTGTAAATTTACTCTGAATGTTTTTAAAGTTATTTTTTATTTTATTTTTTATAGATGCGAAAAAATATAGCTTCTACTCGATGATAGGAGATTCTTATTGTATGAAATTTTACTTCAGTTTTTCTCTTTAATGATATAAATTTTATGAAAATGAATTAAATCTTCACATATATTTAAAAATTTTCTTTGTCAATTGGTGTTATTTTTTTTTCGATAAACTCGTGACAGTTACTGTTTCGTCCCACATATTGTCGAGTGATATAAACGCATTGTTGCGGACAATCGCAAGTGTTGTCGAAACCGGACTTCCGTCGAGGGCCTGTTGCCGTTGTAAAGCTTCTTACATTCGTTGGTCACTGATTTTTGTCAACAGTGCGGCTTTGTCATCCCCTCTGGTCAGATCAGTCGGACTCTTGCACAGTACGGCAAAAAGGCCGCTGTTGCTAGTTTCCTCACAGTCCAAGACTAATTTCAACTCACCCAAGATTTTATTCCTTTTGTTGAAGGAAAAAGAGGCGATTTTTTAATTTTATATTCTCGATACTTGTGGTGTGTCTTTATTTTGTAGAGATTTAAGGACTTTTTTTCAAAAGTACTCGAAATGTGGATGATGTCCTCTTTGGGTTTTGAGTTGGCCACAGTCGTCTTATTCCTTTCCATTCATCAAGGTAAGTCTCTAATATTTGCAGACATTTTTGTCACGTTGTGTTTAGACCGGTTTTTACCTATCTATCTATCTATCTATCTATCTATCTATCTATCTATCTATCTATCTATCTATCTATCTATCTATCTATCTACAGTGTATGCCAAAAAATGTATACATATTTTGAAGCATTCTCAGTAAATAATTCAAGCAACTAGAATCAACTGTATTTAATTGAAATAATGCATATGAAGAGATTATTTATTATAAAATGTATGTACTTAAGATTTTTTCATCGCATTTTTTCAAATTGATGTCCGTTATGTTCCAGACATTCCTGACAATGCGATGCAATGGAATCACAAGCAGCAATTAACATTTCGATGGGTTTCTTGCTCTCCTGTGACAACTTTCCATCACTTTTTCTTGCTTCACATGGTTAGGTTTAGGGCGAGGGCAGTATCTTGTGCACGCCGTGTACAACACCATCAGCTTCAAACTTGTTTCTGATTCATGTGATTGTACGCCGCGTGGATGGATCTGAATGAAAATCTCTTCGATACCCACTGACAAATCGACCATGGTGAAATTCAAACACGGGTCTCGTGGTCAGAAATTGAACGTTCTAACTTCAACTATAAATATAATATAATATAATTATAATATAATGTAATATAATATAATTATAATATATAATATATCATATAATATAATTATAATATATAATATAATTTAATTATAATATAATATAATTATAATAAAATATAATTATAATATGATATAATAATATAATATAATATAAATATAATATTATAATATAATATAATATAATATAAATATAATATGATATAATTATAATATGGTAGTATAAAGGGAGTCTCAGAAAGTTGGATACACATTTTGAAGCACTATCAAAAAATAATTCAAGCAACTAGAATCAACTGTATTTAATTGAAATAATGCATCTGAAGAGAATATTTCTTATAAATAATTTTAGGATTTTGTGATCACACGTTTTCAAATTGATGTCCGTTAAAATCCAGATATTGTTGACAACACGACGCAATGAAATCACAAACAGCAATCAACATTTTCATTGGTATTGGGCTGTATTCTTTCTCCATGGAAAGTTTATTTACAGCGATTATTGCTGGCTTTACAGCGTAGACCTTACGTTTTAAATATCCCTACAGGAGAAAATCTAAAGGGTTTAAGTTCGGTGAACGACGAAAAAGTGTGTAAAAGTGGTCTACATCTTTTGAGATACGTAGTAGTGGGATCCATTTTTTTTTAGGAACGCGTTTTCGCTTCTTTTGGATACCAGAATTATTGTTCATGAAATTAGGAAGCGTTTTTTTTCTGTATATTTTTTTTTTTTTTGTCGATGGAGATAAAGTCCAATGGTATTTAAGAACTGGTTGTAAGAATTTGGGTATTTTTAATAAGCGTTTTCCGACAACCATTAGAAAACCCTTGAATCATCAGTATATATATATATATATATATATATATATATATATATATATATATATATATAAGGGGACATTGAAATCAACACCCAGAAGCGACAGTCTGTGTTGTGTCATGCTAAACGCAATCGATGGCCAGACGAGTGAGTTTAGCACTGTCGCCTCTAGGTGTTGACTTCATTGTCCACTTTTATGTTTATATACCCCCTTATCCCAGATATTGAACACTTTAACCCAATATCATAAAAATATATATATATATATATATATATATATATATATATATATATAAACACACACATACCGTGTGTAACAGCAAAATTGTCCGAATCGTGTAACAGCAAAATTGTCCATTTGTTTAAATTAAGCTTTGAACCGTTGTATCATTAAAGATATCTTGTTGGAATTCTCCGAGGTTTTTCTTACACTATTGGGCTCTACTTTGAGCAATAAAAATGTATAATTACTCTCCAAGCTTAACAGAAGAATCATATATATATATATAATCGACTCTCCCGTCGCGTTCGACGTATGAGGGTCAGGCCGATAAGTCCCCAGGAAACCGACATCCCGACACCGGCACATGAGATTTGTTTATAGTGGTGAAGGCCTTGTGCAGGACCAGCCACACTTTTTGGAGGGACGAATATAGGAGGCACGGTGGAGCAGTGGTTAGCGGCTTGGATTGAGGAATCGCAGAGCCGAGTTCGAATTCCAGTCAAATCCACTGCATTCACTTACGTGCTAATACCCTTGGGAAAGGTATGTATCCTCTTCATCTCCCTCCAGTAAAATAGCAGGACAGACTGGGTTCTATAGCCTTGGATGGCAACTGGTCTAGGAGAAGGACAACTCTGAATTCAAGACCTGCGGAGGGTCGTTTGGGAACCTTGTGGCATGCATTCGGTGCACCAGGTTTGTGTGTGTGTGTGTGTGTATATATATATATATATATATAATCCAGGATCATTTTCCAACTTATTCAAGATGATCTTCGCTCTTTCTAACCTTCGAACTTTCTGTCTTGGAGTAACAAGGTGTTTCACGTACGATTTCATTTTCAAATCTTTTTTCACTGCTCTTTGGACTGTCATAGTTGAAACTGCTCTCTCTCTCTCTCTCTCTCTCTCACGTGTCAAACGTCTTATGGATTGAGTTGGATCTTTTCAAATTGATCTCTTTAGCTCTAAGATGATGATCCCTTTTCCTGCTGTGACCTCCTCATCCAGATTTTTTTTTCTACTGTTCCCTCTTTTTTAAACTTATTCACCGTTTTCTTGATGGTTCTTGTATAGTCTTTAAAGATGGAAGCCAGAGTATGAAATGTTGGTACCATTACTAAAGGCCTGAATGATCTTTTTCATCTCCCCATTACTCAGTTGGGAAGACAATAGGGTTGATATAAAACGATTTTAACCTGTTCATTTTCTAACTGAAAGGGCTTTTCAGTGATTCTTACGACAAATGGTGTGAAGATGGCTAAACGTCTTATTTGAAAACCTGGAAAAAAGAAACTCAATTAGTTTAGTGCTTTTTGTTTTATATATTGAACATTTTGCGGGATGGACAATTATGTTGTTACACGATTTGGACGATTTTGCTGTAACACCCGGTAATGATTTATTGATACAAGTCCTACTAATTAACCCATAACTAGGGAGATAACAAGTAGGTTCATTCTTTCCTAAGTTGCTCTTGTCTTCAACATTGTCCTGTGAGTGTTAAATTTTCCGAACCCACTCAAGCTCACTAAGTATGTTATACGTTGTTTTCTTCTTTCTCTCTTTCCTTCAATCTGTTCTGTGAGTATCAAATTTTCCAAACCCTCTTTCCTCATTATGTGCCTTAAGAAATTACAACTATTTCTTTCTGATATTGAGCAGTATTTGAAAATATCTGCTTTACTTTTAAATCTCAAATTTGTATATATATATACTATATATTATTATAAGTATAATTGTCTTTTTTGGTTCCATCTGTTAAAACATTTACCTCTACAAAACTCTGAGTTGGTGATAAGTATTTGAACTTTTTATTTATTCTCTCCCCCCTCTCTCTCTCTCTATCTATCTATATATAAATTTAAGATTTAAAAGTAAAGAAGATATTTTCATATACTGCTCAATATTAAAAATAGAACATTGATAATATTTTTATACACAGAAGAATTACATTTTCACTGTATACATATGCTATATATATATATATATAATATATATATATTATATAATATTTTATACACAGATGTTTAATTATATTACAAGTATTTCAAACTGTTTATGATAAACAGTCCATATCTGAATCCTTATATATATATAACAACGTTATATATATATATATATATATACGTATTAATTCGAACGCCGGACAAGAGATTCATGGAAGACAAGTTTATAAGCAGTAAATTCGACCTTGTCTACCGAAAAGTTCTTTTAGCCTGTTTAACGTCAGCGTATATGACGGTTTATAGGAGGTTCGAATCCTGTCAAAGAACGAATATTTTTATCAAATTCTCGGACATTCAGGCCGGTAAATGATAAACAGTTTATTAAACAGAGCATTTACCGGCCTGAATGTCCGAGAAATTTGCTTAAATACTTGTATCTATAAATAACAACGTTAAACATAAAAATGTCTTTAATAAATAAATTGTCGGACCTTGTCCATTTCTTAATATATGACGTCATTTGTTTACATTCGATACGCCGGAGCAGTTATGAATGTACGAGATTCATGGAAGATTGAAGTTTATAAGCAGTAAATTCGACCTTGTCTACCGAAAGGTTCTTTGTGGCCGAGACGGTTAATGCAGGTTCGAATCCTGTCAAAGAACGAATATTTTGTATGAAAATTTCTCGGACATTCAGGCCGGTAAATGTTATTTAATACTGTTTATCATAAACAGAGCATTTGCTTAAATACTTGTATCTATAAATAACAACGTTAAATATAAAAATGTCTTTAATGAATATATATATATATATATATTCAGTTCGCAATTACTTTCGGTAAAACATTCATCATCTTCAGGCATATATATATATATATATATAATATAGGCTTAATACAAATATAAAATTTGTCACTTGTCTGATTGATGCTATATTCACCACCTCAACTCTAGAGTTTCGTAGACGGACCTTTTAGTAATCGTTCTGTCCAATCTTCAGGAGATATCAGCAATTGACTGCTTATTTTTTCATTTTTGTTAATTTTATATTAATTTATGCATTATTGTTGTAAAGTTGATTTCTTCATTGTGTTTTTATGCGCGCATGTACGCGTTTGTATGTGGGTATAATATATGTATATATATATAATTTTTCACTTCGTTGATTGATATTATATTCAACACTTCGATTCTAGAGTTTCGTAGAGGAACATTTTTATAGTTGTTCAATCCACTCGTCAGGAGGTTTCAACCGTCTTTCAGAGTGTTTGAGTGTCAATCTGAGTACAGTGCAGAGGATTTGGAAAGAGTTGGATGAGTCAAATGGTGATTACGAATGTGTTTTTCGCTATCTTTATAATAAGATTGATGTAATTAATTAATGCGCTAGTTATTAGTATTAGGCTAATCTTTTTCTCTTTGTGTGGTTGTGTGTGTGTGCACGTGTCTTTGTGTGTGTGTGTGTGTGTGTGTGTGTGTAATCCTCCTTTTCAAACGCTTGCTTAAACCTATTCAAATT